CATAGAATCACAGAATCACCCGGGTTGGAAGGGACCCCAAGGATCATGTAGTTCCAACCCCCCTGCCTAGCAGGTCCACCAAACATACACATTCAGATCAGGTTGCCCAGGACCCCGTCCAACCTGGCCTTAAACACGTCCAAGGACGGGGCATCCACAACCTCCCTGGGCAGCCCGTTCCAGGGCCTAACCACTCTCCTAGTAAAGAACTTCCCCCTAAATTTTTGCCTATGACTTGCCTTGAACTGGAAACGCATTTCAGAAGCCGGGCTGTTCAGAAACAGGGCTAAATGCTGCTGTTTTAGTTGACTTCCTATGCCAGATTCCTATCTGCATCTCAAGTTCTCCACTTAACCCAGCCGTTATATGAGCTTAGGAGGCTGAGGAAGCAATCAGTTTATTCTAGCTTTTTAGAACTAAGAAAGATTTACATAGTAGGAATGAGGGGGGGGGAAAAAAAACACAACACCCCAAGGACTAAACCTAGTTAGTGCATGAGCATAAGAATAGCAGCATCCTTCTTAATGAACTGGCTGTTGTAAGAAGCGCATGGAGTGAGGTTCTGTGGAACATGAAGAACATGGGATCAGCTCTACGGACTGTGCATGGATGGCCCTCTGCTGACCCCAGGCTGTGCACAGCACTTAGTGCACCCCTGCTAACACAGTTCCTGTCAAAGTCTTGTTTCAATAGCCTGATGTGCCAGAAAGTTCTTGCCTCCCTCATGAGATGATATTCACCCAACTTCTGCTGGTATTTTTGTTCTGTTTGATTAGTCAGTTAATACTTTCAGAGTCAAGCCTTCGTCCCCCTGTCACTCAGTCACCTCTCTGGCTGCCTTCTGGACAAAGCGCTCATCTGTCACACGGAAGGCTCGGCACAGCGCCTCCGCCGGGTCGTGCTGAAACATCTCCTGGTGCACCATGTTCACGTGGAGATGGATGGAGGCATAGATGGCAGCATCCACTCCGCCATGGCCGTCGAACACCGCAAAATAGGCTTGCTCTTCTTGGTCCTGCCAGTGAAAACACATTGGGAAAACAACTAAAGGAGAAAGCAATGCAAACAGTTCATTAGATTGTCTCTAAGATTTTTGAACTTGGGACTTGTTATGTCCTCTGCGAGCATTCGCCAGCATTAAACTGCACTTACAGGCAATCTCCACTGGAACAACAAAGTACAAAGACTATTTCCACTTGCATCAAAGGGAAATATGGACGAAAATTCCCACTTCATTGCTAATGAATTCTACCTGCAAATGGCAGGAGATGCCCTGCAAGAATCACCTGTATAGCTCTCTCAGTGCTCCTTATGTTCCATTTGCTACAGTTCAGTCACTCAACTCAAATAGGAAGTGCCATTCCCATCAAATAGAGCAGAAGTTTTTGTGACTGTGAAAAGAGAGAGAGTGAAGAAGAACATCTAATACGGTTTATGTGAAGTCTCCATCAAGACTGAAATCCACTAGGGATGAAATGCCAGAACAGTTAAAATGTGAAGCCAGCTAACCTCTGCTTGCTTTCTCTTTTTGTTTTCTTTTTTCTTTTTTTTTTTTAATTCTAATCCACATCACTTCAGATGCCTGTTTTTAAAACACCCGTATGTAGTCGCTCATCAGATAATGAAATGTGATTGCATTCACAAATCAAGTACAGCAGAATCACTCATCCTGGAGTCACGTTTTCTCTGCTTCCCCTTATCTGTTCAAACAAAGAAACAATGCTTTGCACCCAGAGACAGCAGCTCCTGTGCCTATTCACACATAGAACACACCAACCCACTGTCAGTGCCAATTCAACCTTGACAGCCATCTCAATGACTGGAGTATTTGTACATTGTAATTTTTAAGTAACAGGCTCCAACACAAATTGGAATAAGAAAGCTGACAATTGACAGGCAGAGGAAACATCTGCCTCTGCTTGCATTAGTATCGTTTAAAGGTAAAATTTGGATAGGGCACAGAAAATGGTTATTAAAGTGACAGAATGTAATAAAGAATCAATTATGCAGCAATCTGATCTCAATGGTAAAATTCTTGCCACTTTCTTCTTCTTGATCCTCCTCAGTGTCCAGTTTTATATCTGAAGGAAGAGCAAGCATGAGCACTTGATGGCTGATACAAAAGGGAAGTCTGGCTGCCAGTTCCACCAAATAATACTACACCATGCTTTCTGCACGATGGCAGGTCACTTCTTCACCCACTGCATGACTGGTTACATAAGGATGGGGCACATACATGCTGTGTTTAGTTAGCTGGCATTTTAGCAGACATTGCTCTTTTATTCTGTATACACCACATAGAAACTGCATGTCATACAGCTGCTATAACTACAGAATCAACTGAACCAACTTACGACCAGGCTTGCCTCCTGACATTCAATCTTTCCCAGGTCCCTCACAGGGATGGCTTTCATTTTCACAGTAGAAGACTGTCCAGTTGCCCCATGAATGGCAAACGTGTTCATAATCTTCCACATAATCTCACTTTACCTCAAGGTTGAAGAGCATGTTGAAGTCTGGAATGCAGACATGCTTGTCTTCCATTTTCCTCCGCATATTCTTGATGGCGTGGATGGACGTCTCATAGTAGCGGTGTGGCTTCGGCTGGAGGGGGAATTCTTTCACCCAGTTGCTGCAGATCTCATGGAGTTTGCTAAAAACTAAGCGGGCCAGTTTCACTGTCTCAATCTCTGGGGAAAACAAAAACCACAAATAAAAGGCTGAGAGTGTTATTGAGAGTTTTTCTCTTGCATACATTACAAAGATGAAACAAAACCATTTTTGCCAAGTAGTTGAGATGGATGTCAGCAGGGAAATTCTGGCTGCTGATACATGAAAAGAGAAAGCCAAACTTATCATAATCAGCATTCATCAGTGAGAAGCTCATCGTTTGTCTTTTTAATTTAAACATGCCCCTGTGCCTTTGGGGAACTCATTTGCAGAATCAGGAAAAATGAAAAGCAATGTGTTTCCCTCAGCACTGGATCCCCTGTGTAGCTCTGCACAGGGTGGTGCAGCCACTCCGATAGGGACTGCATGGCATACAGGATCACACACACAAAGCACAAACCATTACAGATTATCATTTGGTTCAAGACCAATGGATAAGTTGGAACTAAGCTACGTATGTAATCAGAAGGAGGAGTCCTGTCTTCTTGGTCACATAGCTTTAAAAAATAAAATGAATAAAAGCAAATGACCAGGTCATCCCACCACCATTACAGTAATGCATACCAATTCTCCCATAACACCTATACCACTCCCACCAGTGCCACTAGGAATCTCTTTGCTGGATAATGTATTTAAAGAGGGAACACGTACAGCCTGAAGCATCCAAGTTTTATTTTCCAGAAGGAAGCTCCACAGACTTACTCTTCCATCTCTTTTTCCAATGGGCCTATATAATGGGAAACACCGTGCCCTTCAATGTCATGTGGCTGTTACAGTTCAGAGCATGACTCTGAATGCAGTAAATGGATTTGCTGTGTTGAAATCCTAAATACCCTTCCCCAGCAGGGCGTATGGGGAGTATGCGTAGTGTCAGCCTCATCAATAATTGCTCCTGAGGTTAAAACAGGAGAAAGGCCCACAAAAGTCAAACCACCCCCTCACAGCTGTAAATTACTCATCACTCGTTAATGCTGCAGCGCTGAGCCAGAGCTGACTCAGCTGTCACTGTGGTTGTGTCATGGAGAATTTCATTTCCCTCCTGCTGCTCCAAAATCCCCAGTGTTGGAGGCAGTGCTTAATTGTACCACGGCTGGTAGGAAATCCAGCTCAGGCATTATTGTTCCTAAAGGCTGCTGACATGGTTTAGAGGAAAATCAGAGTAAAGAGAATACCGGTAATCAGATTTTGCTTTTTAGTGCTTACATTTTAAGACCTCTCTTGAAAATCTGGGCAGTGTGACAACAGGGATCAAAACTCGGGTTTGACACGCCATAGAGATGAGATTAAGGAAAGCCTTGATCATAAGAAGTCTGGTTTCTGACCAGTCAATGACCAATTTTGGTCTTGGTTAGAGAAACCTTGTACATTTCTTGTGTGAAATTATGTGAAATTGCAGCGTTTATATTAAGCCATTGCTTTACTATGGTCCAGAATATGTTCTCTATCTTTCTCTCCCTCCTTATTTTCACATTTTAATACTTTACAGTGAGTCTGCAAAGGTATATTTCATCTTTAAGTACCTTCATTATGACAATTGAGCTCAACATACTGTCTGAAGCCTCAAACTTTCAGTGTCTGCTGCATACAGCCCGTACACATGCCACCCAATCTCTGCTGGCATCTGTGTATTACAGATTTAAATAGATTTAAATGGAAATTTCTGTAGGTGTGATTTTTTTTTATTGTTGAACTCTGTAGATATTCAGCGTGGAGGCTTAGTCAACATTTCCTTGGAGACTGTCAAATATTTATGCAAGTCTCTGAGATCTCAATTTGAAATTAATGAAGGCTGCTCAGCCAGAACAATGACAAATCTATTCCATTTACCTGCTCAGCAGGAGGAGGCAGCAATACCTACAAAAGGGAACCCATCGCATCTTTTTCTTTTTCTCAGTTTTCCAAAGGCTGAGAAATTCACCAGCATCTGAATCTCCAAATAGCCAGTTTTATATTTCTTACTTATCCCCAGAATCTTTTTTTTTTTTTTCTTTTTTTCTTTTTAATCAGGAAAGGAGAGAATGGGCAAAGTGGCTTGGCAGCGGTATTTTCCAGATGGAATGGCAGAATTCCTCTCAGCAAGTATGGGGAGCGTTGCTCTGTGTCATAATGAGCATCCCAGAAAGTTTTTCAAGACTGTTTAGTCAGCAGAATTATGCAATTATTTAATGCATGGAAAGTACACAGCCTGGAGCCGGACGCTGCCAAAATCTTGATAGCTAACAAAGATATATGGATAAAAGGAGACTTCCCTCTTCAGCACGAAATATGTGTGTATTACTCTTTGCTGAAAGTAAAAAATAAATAAATGAGCTGTAGTAAAAGCTAAACTTAATTCTGAATTATTTTCAGTTCCTCTTCCTACACGTATTTGACTTTCCTCTAAGGATGAAGAACAACTTGTGCTTGCCAGGAGGAAAGCAGCAGGGCACACTGTTGCAAGCGCTTACCAAGAAATCCAGGGCCACCAGATATAGTCCTAGTCCTTACAGAGATGCTCTTAAAATAAAGGAGTGACTTAGATCTGGTCTAAAGAGCAAAAATCCAATAAAAGGCTGAAGTGCAGGTGGAGAAAGGAACAAAATGAAAAAAGATAATTCAATGGTAAAAGTTGAAATTGGACAAGAGTCAAAACCAAGAAAGTTTTGGCTAAGAAACTAACCACTAGTGCTACCTGGGCTGTGGTAAATTGTCCATTAATTTTTTTATATCACAAGGGAGGATGATGTCAGGAGTGAAGCCCAACCCTGTTTAGCTAACTGACAGCAGGAGCTAATGTGGGGAAAATCTAGTATCACATCACATGGTGGGACTGGATGGATCGCTTAAGGCACTGAGGAATTTAAAATCTAAGAACTGTCTGTAAGACATTCTGGTAAAGAAAGATGCACAAGGCGTGCAATTGCACGCTGCTGAGCACTGATGTACGTACGTATAATGCCATCGGCGTTGTCCACGTGCTTTGGTAAGTAGAGTGCTGAAAGATCGCTCTGGAGGACTTCATCCGAAGTTGCTCTAGCTAAAGCAGCAGCCAGAAATGAAGGGCAATTACTGGAAAAGAGAAAAAAAGAAACCCATATAAAGATATTTAGCAAAGCAATTCGCAGTCACGGTAATATATCACAATCCTTTTCCATAGAAAATTGGAACCTGGACTTGTCTGAGACTTGTAAAACCTCTGAGTCTTTGTCAGACAGCACCACAGTCCCACAGCAGGACCTCCCCAGGCTTACCACATAGATTTTAATAGCCCATTTCATTATTATTTTCTCCATTTCTTATCCTTTCATGTTTCACGTCTTACCCTTTATTTGCTTTTCAAATCTAGACCTTAACCCCCTGCATTTTGCCACACAGTCCTTGTGTACTGCATATTTGCTGAGTGTCTGTTATGCACTTTATCATAAGTCCACTCTGTCCAGCTAGAAATGGAGCCAGGATTCCAAAGGATAAGAGAACTCTTCAGTTTTCAAAGTTTCCAAAATCTAAGCAACACTGAGGAAAGTTAGGGCAAACTCACGGGAAGTATGAAGAATGTGTGCATTGCATAAGGTTAAAAGGGAATTAAGCTCCCTCGTGAATGTTCTCCATCAAGAGAAAAGTGGCTTTAACTCACTGTAGCTTAATTAAACCTGATAAATCCCAAGGTTAATTAATCTATAGCAAACCAAGGCCACTTGAATGTACATTTTCTCATTCGAGAGGAGTTTAATGCCCCTTAATTTACGCATACCTTTGTATTTCCCATTTGTCTGACTTAGCTTTTCCGCGTGCCTCCTGCTGATGCAGCCTGAAAGCTCCAGTACCCATAGTCATCAGCAGGGGTAACAATGGCCTGCATAGGATGTGTCTACCATTGCAGGACCACACAGAGATATACGAGCTAATTCCATTTTCTGAAACAGCCCATCAACCACAGAACTGCACATCAGCCAGTCCAAGGAGCAGGCAACGAGCAAACGCTTCCTGAGCCTGTTTCTTCCACTTAGGACCAGGAAGTCTGTGCTCATACTTTTACCAAGGATGGGGAGGAGGCGTCAGCCTAGAAGTATCCACCCAAGATCCAGAACATACCAACCCCTACACACGGACCTATCAGATTAGTTCTGGAGCCCGAGAAGCACGTGGCACCCATCCCTTGTGCTCACATTTGATTTGCTGCAAGGAAAAGACAACTGCACTTGGGGATTTTTGAAAAACCATGATACTAAAACATTTTCTGGATTACTGACACCAAACATCGCTACAAGCAGTAGGATTATGCAGCAGATTCAGGAAACGGATATGAAACGCATCCTCCAATCCTTGTTATTCAGAATTCAACATATCTATAAATTATTTAAATATGAGATTCGCATTAAATATCTTTTTGCAAGTGATACATCATAACAAGACAAGCCTCAGCCCTCCAAGCAATGCCGAAAGCCACTTGTGTCACTGCACCATCACTAAGAGTATTTCCTAGAATTAGCAGCTGAGCATTCTGCTCACGCAGCACCTCCAGGCCTCAGCAGCACGCCTGCTAATGAAGCACGACGGCTCGAGGAAATCAGCTGCCTTAGGACTGGCTCTTCCCAGCACAGCACAGGAACTCTGATCCCATTTGTGCCCGGTGGTAACAGTGATCAGCAGGAGGAACGCCGGGATCTCCTTTACTTCGGGCGCACGTGGAAGCTGATTTTCTATCGAGTCTTGTCTGCCTTTATTTAGCTCACAAAGAACAGGTTTCTCATTTCTATTATTAGCTTCAATACTCCGGAGCAGCAATACCGGTTGCTGTTCATGTTACATGCAATTTTCATGTTACAACAAAAGTGAGAGATTGTGACGCCTGGGATGGGATAATTATGTCTGCAGTTAGCAACACCACCAGAACAGCATTCTAAAAAAATCCACAGGAAGATTATTTATTATGGTACAGCCTAAATAAAGCACAGCAGAAGAATCCATGCTGAAAGCACTTACAAACACACCTCCCTCGGATGGAGCTCGCTTCAGGCATGAACAGAACAGGCTGCGTGGCACCTGCAGGAATCCCAGCTGATCCCCAGTCCAGGGCTTGCCCTCAACCTGTCAGTGCAGGAAGCTTTAGAAGGACCAAATTTGTTTCCTACCCCTCGTAAACGAGCCCTCAAGAATGTCTACTGGGCAAAGAGGGAATACTGCTGAGAACTGAGACGATGGCTGCCAAAATGGGATGGGATGGGATGGCCACCTCTGTAAGACACGATTGTGAGTGTGTATATCTGCAACTTTAGATGTCATTTTAAGTATACTAAGTACAAAACTAAAATACACATTTACAAGTTATGCAGTCAGAGCATCTCCCCCATCAGCTCCAAATGCTGTTTACACAGCCCTGCAGCCAGTGCTAGTGGTCTCACACAGGAGCTCTTCATCCAGCCAAAGAATGTATTTCCATCACAATACTAAACCCACACACACACAAAAACCTGCTGGAGATGTTATTAGATAAATTAGGGGGTTTAAGTACATCCTTCCTGATTCTCTGGCATTGTGGGCGTGTTTAGAACACCCACAGATGCACTGCAGCAATCCTGGAATAACTCTGCTAAGGTAATAAATCAAGCCTGAAAGTGGGCAGTTTCCATCAATTAATTTTGAGAAAAACAGTCTGAAGTGGGTTTAACTCAGCCCACATATTATTATGTTACTGACCTAACACACAACTCTTCTTGCTGATAGCATTAAAGTGGAGAAGAATTTCCAAATATTTTCTCTGAGCTATTCCTCTGTGCTCTAAACCTACTAAAGGGCCTCCTGCTTAGAAAAGGGAGATGGCAAATTTAAAATTCTCACTGCATAAAAGTTCTTCGCTGGGGTTTGAGTGACTTAAGAGTTTTGATGGAAAAGGTAGAGAATACTAAATCAGCTGAAGGCTTTCCTTCTATGTCTGGCCATTCTTTGTCCTAATAATAACAGCTGCCTGCCAAAGAATTAATTGCCCTTGACATTTGTTCATCACAAAGCTTCTTATGTAGCCTTTATAGGGCTATGCCATGTAAGCAGCAAAGCGACCAGCTGCAGACAGATGACTTCCTCTTCCTGATTAGCACGACAAAATTCACTTCTTATTTCTCTTCTCAGAGGACTTTAGTGGAATTACTTCTCCCCTTCAGCAAGCAGAACAGCGCACTGGAGTTTCTGACTGCTTTTAAAACAGATTAGATTTTGAAGTCTGACTTTTGTCAGGATACTTCATTATTGCTATAATGAGACAAATGAAGAATCAGGTCCATCCATTGCCTTCATTTTTATCATGAAAGTGAACGTTCAGGCAAGTACCGACCACATCCCGCCAAACAACAAAGAGCCACGCTCAAGGACAACTCTTTCTCGTAGTCCTCAGCTGTCCTCACATCTTCCCTTACACAAAGCAAGCAACAGCAGACAGGATCCACGAGAGCATGGAAGGTACTCTGTGTCCTGCTGCTGGTGTAACAAAGGATTACCTGTTGGCTGGTTGAAAATTAATTCTTCTGCCATGTTCTTATGTTCAAATATGAACAGTCATCAAGTTATGATGAACTGAAACCAGGAGGGCACAATCCTGTTCAGCAGAGCTGAGAGCTAGAATGCCTGTGTCCATTTGTAGCTGTGCTACTAGCTCAGGAGCTGACCTTGGACCAAGCACTTCACGACGCAGACCTTCAGTTCCTCACCTACAAAGAGGGGGTGATAATGTCATTTCCTGGGGCATAGAAGGAGGAGGAGGAAGACTGTAGGAGGCTTAATTCAATGTTCATGAAATATGCTGAGATTTCAATATAAGAACACAAGCAAAGGGAAAAATATCAAGATGATAGCAGGCAATATCTTCAATCTATATAAGATTTATGGAGCTTTCATAGCTCTTACTTGCTCCATATTCTCTGTCCTCATCTGCTGCCAGAAGCACTAAGTGCAATGAACAGACAAGTAAGAGCTCCAGACAGGCAGGTTTTGTCTGATGCGGGCTGAAGCATTTCAAAGATGGAACTGTGAAAGTAAGACAACCAACCAGTTCTTTAGATTTGGTAATGCTGGTGTTGCCGGAGCGTTAGCACTGCTGATGGAAAAACGATGTTGCAGGCACTCTGAGCAAAATCCACAACCAAGAGCCACCAGAGCTGAGCACACCCCCACTGCATGGTGTGCTGAGACTGATGAGGCATCACTGATTCAAACAAAGCAAGAAAAAATGGACTGAAGGGTACTGATGGCTCTCAAAGGCTGAAATGGGCAGTAAATCACAAACCATACAGTGCTCCTATTACCTCAAGAATCTCCTGACACTACAGAACACCAACTGTTTTAGTTGGAATGAAACATGATTTAAATAGAAATACTATTCAATCTGCTGAAACACAAAACAAATCCACAGGCAAACAGTATAAAGCATCGTATATAGTTTCACACAGTAATCCAAGACCAAGAACATGGCCTGAAAAGAACCAACTGCAGCACATTCCCATAAGACCTCTAATTTACTGCGTTAGTAAAAGTCTTTATAGGGATGACAAGCTAACTGTACCCTTTCCAAAAGGCATTACACCAGGGATGCAATTTGGTAAACATTCCCGTGCTAATGTGGCCTGCTGCAAGTTCTTCTTAGAAAGCAAGTTTTGCAAGAATTCAATTTAAGAAAGCCCTCATTTGTCCCCAGCCTGTATTTACAAAACACTCCAAAGTCTCATGAGATCTTTTCCAGATGGAGCTTGTCGAACAGCCTGGAAGCCCTTTGAAGAAACCTTTAAAGTCTTTATTACTGAAAGCTCCCATGCTGTGAGCTGCAGCAATAACGGAGAAAATTCTTTGGGAAGATCCTTCTGCTTCTTACCCAGCCCTGTTCAGCCACCTGCTGGCTGTGGGGATAGCCACTGGAACAAGGCACAAGCCAAGGGCTTTCTGTTTGTCTCCTAATGTCTGTACATCAGGAAGGAATATTCCACCAAGCAGTCCTCAGATCCCACAACAATTACGGGTGCTCTTCTAATTATGCCAGACAAATGCTATTTCCAGCTCCTGCCTCTGAAGGTTCTCCTCTCCGCACTCACAAAGCACCACTTCCCCCATGAGCTCA